TTATTACAAAATTTTGGTACCCAGTCACAGACACTGGTCGAACAGTCATTCCTCAGACCAAACATTATTTTCGGAGTTTCATTTCGGGGAACATTAAGCTGCATAATAAGTCTTCAAATATCGTCCATTGACTGACAACATAGGTCTTTTGCCTCGAAAGTCCACTAGCCGGTAAGATCCTCCTGAATATACCTTTTCCACGACAAATGGACCCTCCCAAGTTGGTTCAAACTTCTCGCCTATCTTGCGGTGTGCAAGAATAGGTCTCCTGAGAACAAGTACGAGATCATCAATTTTGAACGTCCTAGGGCGGACCAGCTTGTCGTGAGTCTGCGCCATTCTCGCTTGAAAAAGTTCTAGATTCTGTTGCGCTTCTAATCGTTTACTTTGGAGACTCTCCAACTGTTTGACGTTGTCTTCTGTTGTAATCTGATTAGCGACGGCTATTCTAAGAGACGGTAGTTGAACCTCCAATGGAAGTACGGCCTCGGATCCATAGACAAGCGCATACAGTGTACACTGGGTGGGAGTTCTAAACGTCGTCCGGTAGGCCCACAAAGCCTCTAACAACTTCTCATGCAACCTCTCTTGTTCTCGTCCAACGTCTTCTTCAAAATCTGCACGAGCGTTTTGTTGAAGGCTTCGACCAGATCATTCTCTCTAGGGTAGTAAATCGTGGAGTACCTCCAACCTATCTCATGTCGTCTGACAAAACTGTTAATCTTAGTGCTTTTAAACGCTGACCCGTTGTCGGAAATCACTCTGCGCGGAACACCGAAGCGGTAGACAATCTGACTCTTGAAAAACTAAAGAATGTGTTGCGCTGTAACTTCACGTAATGGTATTACCTCTGCCCATTTGGAGAAGTAATTTGTTGCTGCAAGAATAAATCTATGTCCCTTTGAAAATGGAGGGTCTATCGGACCCACTATATCCGTGCCCCAACACTCGAATGACCATGAAGCGACGGTCGAGTGTAACACATTCGGACGTTAATGCAAGACCACTCCATGCACCTGACACCGGTGACAATTTTTTGCGGTATCTATGCAATCCGCTAACATTGCTGGCCAATAGTATCCGAGTCTTTTAATCTTCATTTTCATTTTTGGTCATGACTGGTGAACTCCACACAATCCGGCATGTACCTCTTTAACAATATCCTGTGCTTCGGCTATGCTCAGGCATCTCAGCCACATCTGATCAAATGATCTCCTGTAGAGGACATTATCTACAAAGGCATACGACATGGCTCTTCTCGTGATATGATATGCAGCTGACTTGTCTTCTGACAATTTTCCTGTTTGCAAATATTCTTTTAAAGGACTGTGCCAGTCTTCGAGATTGTCTCTTGTCAAACTGTCGATGTCGATCTGTGACAAAACCTGACGTCCTTATACTGTAATGTGAACGGAATCCTCCGATGAACACGTCATTTCCTTAACAAGTTTTGCTAAAGCGTCGGCCTGAGCGTTGTCTCCTCGAGGAATCCGGTACAAAGTTACGCTAGGAATCTGTTCCAACAACTTCATCGCATACTGATGGTATTCTGTCAATCTCGGTTTTAAGATCTTATACTGTCCGACAACCTGCTGAATGACGAGTTGTGAGTCGCCATAAATAACAATGTCTGTTATATCCATTGAGATTATCAATTCCAATCCGGTAATCAAGGCTTCATACTCTGTTTCATTATTCGTGCATGACTCTGTCAAGTGGTAAGAAAACCTTAGCATTCTTTGGTCCGGCGTGACGAAAATCAAACAAATCCCTGCTTTACCCGGTATGACTGTTTGTAATCCTCTATCCTTCTTGGCTGACGAAGCCCCATCAAAGTACATTTCCCAATGTCGAGTACTGGACGGTTCCACCTGTAGTATCTGTTCATCTGACAGCTCATCATCGAGAGGGGACCCAGCTGGAAGTGAGTGTGCTGCAAGGAAGTCCGCTAAAATATGTCTCTTGATAGCGCGAAGGGAAACAAAGGTTATATCGAATTACAATAAAATCATTGACCATCTTGCTAAACGTCCAGAAAGTGTTGATCGAGTCATCAAATATTGCAACGGATTAACTTTTGAAATAAGGGTGATCTTATGAGAAAGCATGTAATGTCTAACTTCTAGGCGGTGAAAATAAAAAATGTCTAAGCTTCTGGGCGGTGAAAATTAAAGCT